GTTCTACCATCCACTGACAATGGAATCTCGAGTTCTTCAAGTGCTCCAAAAAGCTAATTGTTTTCAATATAACATACTTACCATTGGGGATAAGTTGTGGAGAAAACTTGATTTGGTCTCTTACCGGCCAAAGTGTTTTGCAACCCCAACAATTGTAAAAAGAGATTTGTATTGGATGGTTAAACACACATATGAAAATGAATACAACGTTCCTCCTTGCAACAACTCCATCATGAGGTTTAACATGGGCACTGAACAATTTTGCTCCATGCCTCATCCAGGAAAGGAATGTCACTCACGACCAATGCATGAAAAGATGCGGCTCTTAAAGTTGGGAGTGAAATTATGTTTTGGTTATTTGGATGCAAGATTAATTGATATATGGCGATTGGAGGATGTTAAAAATTGGTTATGGGTGAAAACATACAAGGTTAACCTTGATTGGGATGTGAATTGTTACCCTTTTGTGTTTAGTGTTATTGATCCATATTATTTGAACTTTGAAGTGAAGCTTTTGAAAATCCAAAAAGGTGAGTTGTTGATGGATTGGTATTCAAGAGGATTGTTTGCATATGTTTTACCTCGGGGTACCATCAGAAAAATTGATAAAGCAAGGATGAAGAGGTCTGGGTGGCTGCAATGCAATTGAATATTATCAAATATTCTCGTGGAGCAAGGATGAAGAGGCCTGGGTGGCTGCAATGCAATTGAATATTATCAAATATTCTCGTGGAGCAAGGATGAAGAGGCCTGGGTGGCTGCAATGCAATTGAATATTATCAAATATTCTCGTGGAGCAAGGATGAAGAGGCCTGGGTGGCTGCAATGCAATTGAATATTATCAAATATTCTCGTGGAGCAAGGATGAAGAGGCCTGGGTGGCTGCAATGCAATTGAATATTATCAAATATTCTCGTGGAGCAAGGATGAAGAGGCCTGGGTGGCTGCAATGCAATTGAATATTATCAAATATTCTCGTGGAGCAAGGATGAAGAGGCCTGGGTGGCTGCAATGCAATTGAATATTATCAAATATTCTCGTGGAGCAAGGATGAAGAGGCCTGGGTGGCTGCAATGCAATTGAATATTATCAAATATTCTCGTGGAGCAAGGATGAAGAGGCCTGGGTGGCTGCAATGCAATTGAATATTATCAAATATTCTCGTGGAGCAAGGATGAAGAGGCCTGGGTGGCTGCAATGCAATTGAATATTATCAAATATTCTCGTGGAGCAAGGATGAAGAGGCCTGGGTGGCTGCAATGCAATTGAATATTATCAAATATTCTCGTGGAGCAAGGATGAAGAGGCCTGGGTGGCTGCAATGCAATTGAATATTATCAAATATTCTCGTGGAGCAAGGATGAAGAGGCCTGGGTGGCTGCAATGCAATTGAATATTATCAAATATTCTCGTGGAGCAAGGATGAAGAGGCCTGGGTGGCTGCAATGCAATTGAATATTATCAAATATTCTCGTGGAGCAAGGATGAAGAGGCCTGGGTGGCTGCAATGCAATTGAATATTATCAAATATTCTGGTGGAGTAAAAAGAATTTTGGAAGAGTCATGTATTGTGATATTTCAAGTTCTTTATTTTTTTTTTTTTTTTTTTTTGATAAACAGTTCGGTGCTAGTTTGTTCGTCATTTTTTATATATACACAAGTAAATTAGTGGATTTTTTTTTTCTTCCTCTGCATTTTAAATATATTTTACAATCAATGTTTGTATTATAAATATTTTACAACTAATAAACTTATTCATCACTAAATCGGATGTTTGTGCCTGCTGCACAACAGACTTGCTGTGAGATTAAGCGGCGAGATTAAGCGGCGCCGTATTTGATGCTGCTGTGTGTCAAACAACTGTGTGCAAGTGCAAGGCATAACATCCATTTTTTTTTCTTTTTTTTATTTGATTAAAATCATTTATATATGATATTAATTATGTGTACCCACTAATTTATTTATAATCAATTACTTTTATTTTAAAAATAAATAAATAAATTTCATTTTACTGTGTTTTAGTAATTTTTTTTTTTTTAAATGATAACAATTGATTCAGTATAATACACTTGAATGGGATTGGGTCAGTTTTTATATTTTTCAATATTTCACAAACACCAAAATTGAAATATAATGTAAGGAAATACTTTATGACACCTTTTTTGTTTTATTTTTTATAATTCACGGCCGTAGATTTAATGTGTATCTCATGATTATTGTATTTGTTGACATTTATAAGAAAATCAAGAGCAAATTATATCAGTAGTTTATGTACTTTAATTTTTGTGTCATTTTAATTTATGTCATTTCAATTAACTCGATTTTCACTGTCTAAATTTGATCTAATTGGATACAATTGTTAGCATTATTTTATAAAAATATGTACATGAACGGCATGTGTCTTGTTTTTTGGAACAATTATAAATTTGATCAATTCTGTGAAATAATTTCAATCAATTCAGTGATTATTTTTGGGGAAAAAAAATCCTAATGACATTATCAATTATACGAAATTGACACAATAAAAAATCAATAGTCAAAGTTAAGCTAATTGAAAGTAGGATTAAAATGACATAACGAATAAAATGTAAGGACTACTAATGTCTAACTTAGTCACTAAAAATACGATAAAACTTTTAACAATTAAAAAATATTTGTTCCTTAAAAATATATTTTTTAAAATTTTTATCTCTAAATTTTTAATTTATTATAATGAGTTATAATAGTCAGAGAATTTTTGTTAACCACTATAGAATTATGTCATTTTGGCTTTAGAAGAGCATTTTTTTTAAGTCATACAAAACTAACATTTTCATTTCACAAGTGTCTAATAAAAACTCAACACAAATTATAATAATAATAATAATAATAATTACACTGATACTCCTTGAGGTTTTAGTTTAATACAAATTCTCTTCCATCATTTGAAATTACACTGCACCTCTTGTGAGTGTTTGCTTTTTAACTAAGTTAATAGAAAATGTAAAATTAATTTATTATGTAAACATAAAATTTCAGAACATAAACCTTACACTTTGGATCATTCTCCTTCCCAAAGCAACAACTCACCATCGCCTATTTCTCTCGTCACTCAAGCAGTCCACCATAACCCATCAAAACTCTACCACTTTTGCCTCACTACCACCAAATCAATACCCAATCTCCACCTCACAACCATGCTCTTTTCCACAACCACCACCAAACTCATCAATGCCCATGATCATCAGTTTTCATATCCACAAGAAGTTCAATTCCACCATTGATGACAAATAGGAAAAGAGGTGGAGACGATGGCCACTATTAACGGCAAGACGGTGGTGAGAGAGAGCCGTTGATGATGATTCACAGGCCATGGTGGCTCACAGTGTCAACGATTGATTTGATAAAGAGGGGAGCAGGAGAGATTTAGACTATATTTGATTGGAGGATTTGATATAAGAAATGAAAAAAGAAAGAGAAATAGAAAGAAAATGAGAAAGAATTGATAAGATTCAAACTCCCAGTTATGTTGGTTGAGTTGGGAAATGAAAAAATAAAAGAGCATAAGCGAATCAAAAGACAAAAAATGAGATTGCATGTTCCTCTCACTTTCTTTTCTCATATGTTTTTCATTAGGGTCGTGCTAGGGAGCTCGAATCTGAGCTCCCCCGAATGCCCCGAATTCCTTTTTTTTTTTTTTTCCAGCAGAAGGAAGAAGAAGACGGAGGGAGAGGGGGAGGGGGAGGAGGAGGAGGAGGAGGAGGAGGAGGGCTGAAAGGTTGTGGAAGTTTAAAAGGAATGAAAACCAACTTTAACCATTATTGGTTTTAATTTCTATTTATTGGTTTTCAAAACTGAAAGGTTGTGGAAGTTTAAAAGGAATGAAAACCAACTTTAACCATTATTGGTTTTAATTTCTATTTATTGGTTTTCAAAACTGAAAGGTTGTGGAAGTTTAAAAGGAATGAAAACCAACTTTAACCATTATTGGTTTTAATTTCTATTTATTGGTTTTCAAAACTGAAAGGTTGTGGAAGTTTAAAAGGAATGAAAACCAACTTTAACCATTATTGGTTTTAATTTCTATTTATTGGTTTTCAAAACTGAAAGGTTGTGGAAGTTTAAAAGGAATGAAAACCAACTTTAACCATTATTGGTTTTAATTTCTATTTATTGGTTTTCAAAACTGAAAGGTTGTGGAAGTTTAAAAGGAATGAAAACCAACTTTAACCATTATTGGTTTTAATTTCTATTTATTGGTTTTCAAAACTGAAAGGTTGTGGAAGTTTAAAAGGAATGAAAACCAACTTTAACCATTATTGGTTTTAATTTCTATTTATTGGTTTTCAAAACTGAAAGGTTGTGGAAGTTTAAAAGGAATGAAAACCAACTTTAACCATTATTGGTTTTAATTTCTATTTATTGGTTTTCAAAACTGAAAGGTTGTGGAAGTTTAAAAGGAATGAAAACCAACTTTAACCATTATTGGTTTTAATTTCTATTTATTGGTTTTCAAAACTGAAAGGTTGTGGAAGTTTAAAAGGAATGAAAACCAACTTTAACCATTATTGGTTTTAATTTCTATTTATTGGTTTTCAAAACTGAAAGGTTGTGGAAGTTTAAAAGGAATGAAAACCAACTTTAACCATTATTGGTTTTAATTTCTATTTATTGGTTTTCAAAACTGAAAGGTTGTGGAAGTTTAAAAGGAATGAAAACCAACTTTAACCATTATTGGTTTTAATTTCTATTTATTGGTTTTCAAAACTGAAAGGTTGTGGAAGTTTAAAAGGAATGAAAACCAACTTTAACCATTATTGGTTTTAATTTCTATTTATTGGTTTTCAAAACTGAAAGGTTGTGGAAGTTGAAAAGGAATGAAAACCAACTTTAACCATTATGTTTTAATTTCTATTTCTGCCCCTCATAGAAATAGAAATTATACAACTAGTATCTACACATTAGGTCCATAACACATATACCCTTAAGCCTATTAACTAAATTGAATCACTTAAATTGTAGGCTTCTTATAAATGATAACACCACATTTAATTATGTGGTCCCATTGAGACATTATCTAACATATTACCCTTACCTAATTATCCCAGTTAACTACACCCCCTAATACTTAATTCTCCTTCCCAAAGCAACAACTCACCATCGCCTATTTCTCTCGTCACTCAAGTAGTCCACCATAACCCATCAAAACTCTACCACTTTTGCCTCACTGCCACCAAATCAATACCCAATCTCCACCTCACAACCATGCTCTTTTCCACAACCACCACCAAACTCATCAATGCCCATGATCATCAGTTTTCATATCCACAAGAAGTTCAATTCCACCATTGATGACAAATAGGAAAAGAGGTGGAGACGATGGCCACTATTAACGGCAAGACGGTGGTGAGAGAGAGCCGTTGATGATGATTCACAGGCCATGGTGGCTCACAGTGTCAACGATTGATTTGATAAAGAGGGGAGCAGGAGAGATTTAGACTATATTTGATTGGAGGATTTGATATAAGAAATGAAAAAAGAAAGAGAAATAGAAAGAAAATGAGAAAGAATTGATAAGATTCAAATTCCCAGTTATGTTGGTTGAGTTGGGAAATGAAAAAATAAAAGAGCATAAGCGAATCAAAAGACAAAAAATGAGATTGCATGTTCCTCTCACTTTCTTTTCTCATATGTTTTTCATTAGGGTCGTGCTAGGGAGCTCGAATC